GATTTTTTGAAAGACTGCTGTGTACTTTTTCCTTTACTACTTCACCAACTCTTCCAGGAACCAAACTCAATTTGGAAACAGTGGTTTTGAACACACTTAACGACTGATACAAAGTAGTATTGCTATTGCTTGCCTCCAGTGAGGAAATGGCAGATGGAATATGAGAGAAGTGAGCAGATATATAGGAATGATTAGTTTCTAGTTCTGCGTTTTTTAGTACATCTTGGACAATCTGAATTGATGCTGCACTTTGGGATCAAATGTATTCATGACATTCCTAACTGTTTCTAAATGTTTGGTATAATAACTCGCTGCACACTGCTATGTGCCTCAGCGCGTTAAAATTGGTTCTGGCAGAAGCGGAATGCTCGGTGCTACTACTTTAAAGGCTTCTTTTCTATATGGCACTTTAACAAATACCTTCTTCACAGAAGACACCAACTTGTCAACAAGCGGAAAATTTGCACGAATTGTTTCTGCAACACGGTGCAACCCATGGGCAAGGCAAGTCAAATGTGCCATATTTGGAAATATAACTTTAAGAGCAGTACCGGCTTTCATCATATAATTTGCGGCATTAGTCACAAAGAGCATATGTGCTCATACTGAATGGCCATTCGGCTATAGTAAATTCATGGAATTGATAAAAAATTCGGAAACTGCGGAGTTATTTGTGGTTTCAAATTGCTCTACCGCAAGAAGATATGGGGTAGATTGTTCATTCTTATTAAGGGATCCTACTATATAATTTGCAATAAACCGTCCCTCACAATCTTGTGTTTCATTGATTGATACCAACACAAAATTATCTTGAATCTTATCTCTAATACTTTCAATTGTAAGATCGTAACACTGCTTCATGTAATTTTTGCGCACAGTAGATTAATCCAGCATTTTGTATTGTGTATACTTCTCTATGAAGTTTCTCAGAGTAGGATTGGTTAGTTTCCACAGTGGAATATCTGCTGCTAAGAACGCTTCGCATAAATCAAAGGAAAACTGCGAAAAACTATTATTAGAAAATTCACTAAGCAATTTTTTAACAAGAGCACTTTTCGTGGATTTAATTTTAATATTCTCTTTGTGTATAATAGTGTTCAAATGCAGAAGCACTTGAAAGCGTTTTTCGCAACCAACTGCTTTCTCATGCGCTCAGCAATAAAGAATTTCCTTATCCGTACTTATCATCTCTCCTTCGAACTCCTGCTGATACAGCTGTAATTTAGTTTTCTGACTTACTTTCACTTCCGACATGACTACAGAAAGCTATACAAACGTAACTACAGACTAGTCACCACTAACGTGAATGGCCCCCAGCTTCAAATGAAGAAGAGTAACAAACCTCATGGAGACTTCGGAAATAAATGAGTGAAGTCCTTTATCGGTTGAATAGTATTATGTTGATAGCGGCTACATGCGAATGTTTCCGACTAATCTCTTCGCGGCCACTTTGATGGTAAGCGGATGAGGCAAGTTACAAGTAGAGGGATCGGGGAAGTCCCGTCCTGGGTATTGCATCATAAACATGAATCATGACAAAATGTTGAGTCAAATATGCAACATATTCTAATATGGAAAAGAAAAATTGTATACACATGACCATGATTGAAAATTTGAACATAAAATTAAAAAATATATATGATAAACATTTTAAAAAGGAAACATGCAGTATAAATAGTGATCTTAGAAAATATGATTCTTATTCATAAAACAGGCAAAATATGCATTTATATGCACCATCAAACCATGTCCAAAATTTAAGAAATGAAGTAATTCATACATATATCCAAACAAGCATGCTTTCTGGTTGCACGAAATATGCATTTGCATTAATATCCAGTCCCTAGTGATGAGACAGCAACATATACTTAGTTTTCCCTGTTTACTTCTAGACCAACCTTCTTACTTGTGTCAATTAAAGACTGCGTGTTTTTCTTTATGGTATCTATATTATCACCCAGCAGATTCACATCATCGACATAGAACAACAGCTGATGTGTCCCTTTTAGTTTCAGACTCACCTGGTTCTCCTGGACCATACTAATGACATATTCTAAAGCAAAGTTGAAATGGAGTGGCGATAAAGCGTCTCCTTGTATTAGACCATTCTGGATAGGAAATTTATCAGACAAAAGTTTACCTATATGGACTTCACTATACGTTTTGTTTAAACACATTTTAATCAGACTAACTAGATTAATGGGTACCCCAAACTCTATCAGAATATTGTACAATACTTCCCTCTTAACTGAATCATAGGCTTTCATGAAGTTTAAAATTTTGTATGGAGTTGATAAAAGCGATATCCCCTGATAATTACTACAGCCAGTTTTATCACCCTTTTTGTGAACTGGCACAATAATAATAATAATACACTCCTTCCACTGATCAGGCAATTTTTCCTTCATTCATTCATCAGTAATCTGTCAAATGACAGGTCCACTGTCTCTTCCAAAACAGTTCCTCCACTTAATGCGATCTAGAGCTTTCTCCTTCAAATGAGAATATCCTCTTCTGTCCCCAAGGTCATCCAGCATCTTCTTACGTCTTCTTCCTCGTCTTCTGGTCACTTCCATCCGCCCCTCTATCTTTCCTTCAATAACTTCTTTTAGGAGGCAGTTACTGCATAAGATATGACCAATCCAATTAGCCTTCCGTTTTCTTATTTCATGTAGGATATTCCTCTGCTCACTGACTCTAAATAACACTTCTTCATTTCTCACATAATCGGTCCAACTGATCTTCTCCATTCTTCTCCAACATCACATTTTGAAGCTTTCCAGGTGTTTCTGATCTACTGCCCTAAGTGTCCAAGTTTCAGCCCCATACAAAGCCATGCTCCAAATGTAGCATTTCACTAGTTTCTTTCTCAAATTTAAGTCCAATTTGCTGGTAAAAAGATTCTTCTTCTTGCTAAATGCAGCTTTTGCCATGGCAATCCTAGATTTAATTTCACAAGTACACCTTCCATCATCTGTTAACAAGCTACCCAAATATTTAAAACATTTCACATTCTCCAGTTGTTTTTGGTTTATCTTTATTGTGACTGGAGTTGGTCGTCTCAAAATGTTCATTACTTTTGTTTTTTCCACATTCATTTCCATGCCATAGCACCTTCCAATTTTGATTAGTCTATCAATCATACCCTGTAGCACAGTTTCTTCCTTAGCCATTAACACAAGGTCATCTGCATATTTCACAGTTTGAATAATTTGCCCTCCTAATTTGAAGTCTCCAAGCTCATCCAGAGCTTCCTTAATATTTTTTTTTTCCTTATGTCAAATATAATTAATTAGTTTGTGGATCTTAGAACGTAATATTTCGCCTCCTGTTCTGCCGGAATTTGATCACTACATGGAGATTTATACTGTTCCATTTTGCAAGAGGACTTTCACCTCAAAGGGCTTGGATCAGGTATTAATGGCTCTGCTGTATGGATTTCTGTCTGCCTAACATCACTGACCCTATGTACATTTAATAACTGAGAGAAGTAGTTCCTCTACCTATTCAAAATGTTGTGCGAATATGTAGGCAGATCACTGTTCTCATCCTTCACTAAGTTAGTGCTAGGTTGGTAACCCATCTTAAAGTACGTAAGATTTGAGGCTTTCACGGTGGTGACTATGAAGAAAGCAGTCTTCTGGGATTTGGCACCGTGTATATGTGGTGTTAACCGATGTTTCGGAGGAACGTATCGCCTCTATCTTCAGGGTAGAAGAAAAAGTATAAGAAATCTGCAAGCGACAAGACCGTGAGAACGTCTGCTTTTACCGTTCTCACGGTCTTGTCGCTTGCAGATTTCTTATACTTTTTCTTCTACCCTGAAGATGGAGGCGATACGTTCCTCCGAAACATCGGTTAACACCACATATACACGGTGCCAAATCCCACAAGACTGCTTTCTTCATCTTAAAGTAATTTATTCCTCTATACAGGTCTCTAATGTTCTTGTTCGTACTGTTCTTTATGAATTTCTATAAATGAAAATTTTTCAAGATATACATGAAAATTACTGTCCTCTGGGAAATGATGCCATGTGACCTGCCAGAAGTTTAAAGACGTTTTAGCAGAACATGCTGTCTCCAACTTCATGGCAAAATAGCAAGCTTACTCTTCTACCCTGAAGACAGAGGCAACATGTTCCACAGAAACTACCAGGAAACTTCAATCAGACTACATGGCATCAAACCTTCATTTTCACAGAGAACTCACTCATCTACCCTGAAGACAGCTGCAGAATATCTGTAAAATTCTAGCAGATTATATGGCTTCACATCTTAGAAACAGCATCATTTCAAAGTCACTACTGTGGGGACCCAAAATCACCCCCTCCCCCCAAAAAAATATTCATGGTGATCAGATCAAATTTCTCAGAAGCATTATGGAGAAAATGAGAATAAATAAATTGATACATGAGTTGTGAAAGAATAGAATCAACTGTAAAAAATATAAAATAATTAAGTTTCAAATGAACTGGACATCTGAAAGAATGGTAGTACAAAGAATCCTATAAAAAACTGGGAGTGAAAAGTATCACTGGAGAGTAAAAATTCTCTCAGATGTGGAACTGCAAGAAACAGAATGAAAACATGGTTTATCTTTGAAACTATGGAAAGTACAGAAACTTTTACATCAAATTGTACATTTTATCAACAATGTTTTTACAAAGAAACAAATCCCTGCACGAATAAAACTAAAGCGATTTTATAAGTCTATACAAACTACAAAAGAAACTGAGTCCCAGCGACTGACATAAGGTTGATAAATCATGTAGTCACGTTTGACTAAGTCCAAACAACTCACCAGTGCCGTCAGTTCTATCTAGAAACATTCACCCCCATTACTCACTTGTTAGACCTCAAATTTCAATGCCGCACATAGGGATAGGCTTCCATTTTTACTGACATGGCAGTAAATGCAAAAACAAGACAGAGTGGAAAGACAAAAAGAAGATTCAGAAATGTTAAAATGGTAATGTGAGACCAGAAAATATCACTTACCCTTTCACACTGAAGAAGAGTTCATTTGTAGGTGTGTAGACAGCAGAGAGAGGAAGGTTTATGTGCTCTCCTGACTCCACTGTGCCAACACACTCCACCTCATTTCCACGTCTTGTCATATAATACACATCAATAGGTTCATTGAAGTGATTCAGAACCTGGATCACGGAATAGAAACACAGTAATGATCACATGACAACACAGTCTTCCTTACAATGTTTACAACTATTCAACTATTAAACTTTACCACCTGAAAATACTGGTTTTACATCTTAATAGTATAGTATAGTATAGTATAGTGTGTCATATATAGGATATATAATGTGTATAATGGGGGAAGTCTACACAACAGTATTTCTGAAATACAAAATAGACATTATTGTATCAATATTTGTTATATTTTGCTGCTGACGCTACATGTTCCTGTCCTCATATTAGGCCATCATCAAGCATACAATGATACAAGTCCTAGTTCTTAAATTGAACCTAGTTTTAATGTGGCTCCTTATTGTGCTCTTGTGAGTTTTAAATGCATAAACTGAATTTTCAGTTAAAACTTAGATACTTTGACAGCAAATTTAGAATTAAAACTTAAAATTAAAATTAAAATTGTACAGAAATGAGATTCTTGTAATAAAGCTCTTTAAAACTTTGTGACCACTGCAAGTTGATACGCTTCTCCGGTGGTAGAAGCAATGATAGTGTGGAAAACTTGCGTATTGGATCTTCTCTCATAAATTAGGTCATGTGGTTTTGACCTTGCTATTGTCTCGTGGAGCCTACGCTCATTATTCTGTGTATTAATCAACAGGTTGTATACTTGGAGTGATCAGGCTTTTATGATGTTATGTGTACAGGCCGCTCCCTGTGATACTGTTGCTACTTTTTACATCCATTCATAAACTCACCATTCAACCCAAGGTTCACAGGTTAAAACCAGGCTGAGGTCAATGGACTTTTAAGTGTGATAAAAATCCATAGCATGACTCCTTTAGGAAGGGAAGTAAAGCCGGGGGTCCCACATCGTACATTTTCAGCACATACAAGGTGTGTCCCAAAAGTCATGAAATATATTTCTTT